ATGAAAAGCACATACACATTCTTTTACAGAAACCTTAGAACCAACTGCAGCACTAGATTTATATTTAGACTACTTTTCTTCAATCAATCTTTCTGTGCTTACTCCACTGGTCTCTTCACCCGAACCATCTACTTGTTTATTAGAGCCTATCCCAGCTAGACTTTTTACAGATGTTCTTCCTCTAATTGATAGTTCCATATTCAATCTGATTAATATGTCTTTTAACTGGCTACATTTTTCAGGCTTTTAAGGGAGCAGTGATTAAAGGTATAATTCACGCAAAAATGAAAATCCACTCATTATCTACTCACCGCTATGGCAATAGAGGGGTGGGTGAAGTGCTGAGTCCACAAAACTCTTGTGGAGTTTCATGGGTAACCAGCGCTGCAGCCAAATCCAATACAGTTGAAGTAGCTAGTGACCACTTCTTCCAAAAAAAATGCCTCCATACTGCTCCTCTGGTGTCATCCAAGTGTCCGTAAGGCCCAATTTAAAGTGGCAATTTTCGTTAATAATATAATCAGTATTAATGCCAAAAATATGGGCGTTCTTACAGTGGAGAATGAGCCCTTCTTGATCACTTTGTTTTAAAATTGTCCTGGACTTATTAATTGATGCCTGTTTAGGATTCTAGTCTGTGCAGTCACTTTTGCATGGGCATGCAGATTTGCAACATGTTCTAGTCTTATATTTGTATTAAACTTTTTCCTCCACACAGTAAGGTTAGTTTTCCTTTTCTGAATGGACACCTGCCAGTGATGACACAAAGTGATGGTTATAGATACAACTAAGTTTATGACTATTACAGAGAAAACTAAGTGTTTATGTTCAAGTGGGAAAATATCTCTGTCCATGGTGCTGAACCATGTATGGGCTCCTTCTATGACCATTAGGCTGAGGCTTACATTGGATCCTTCAGTCAACTCTGTCCATGAGTCCACTGAACCATTGACTTGTATTGATTGCTACTGTATGTTGGTGTGTCAAAAAGAGACAGTGGATATTTAATTACCTCAATTAAAAATTAAGTAAATATTAAGCTGTATCAAAAATGTGTTTCTTAAACTGTTGCTTCAACTTTTTTGTGATCTATCCTACATGACCCACACATGAAACTTAATTTCAAAGCTATGATGGTGCAGAATTCTCTGTGCAAATCATTTGCTCTATGTGTGCAACTTGGCTGAGACTTGAATGTAGTGTCCCAGGCTTAAAGTACAAATAACTGTACTGAACATACACCACCCCCTCTAGACCCTATTGGGTTTATGCTTGCATGGTGGTGGGGATTGGGCACCTTTGTGCACTCTGAATGGTACTCTCCAGTACTTACCACTTTCTAGGACAGAGTCAGAGATACTGTCTTAAACATTTTGAACATAGTTTAATGTCCAGCTTCATAATAATATAGTATAGCCAATAGATTCAATAATTAGCTGGATAATTTCATGAACCATTTGGAAGAAGCTGCATCCTCCGTGGTATATCCAAATAAGGGTATTGATGGCCTATGGGTCACAATAAGGTCACCCCTAGACTCACAACATGCTCTCCTCTCTTTGTAATAAAATAATGCCTTTGCCTGAACAGGAGTCACTATGTGTCAAATAGAAACATGCATACAGTCATTTAACACTATAACCCACCCACCTCTTATTCCACTGGTTTGTCTTGTGTGTGTAACAATAGGTCCTTTTATTGTCACACTGTCTTTTTTGTATGTCTGCCATGGACAATCTGGAATAAAGTT